TGCTGCATTTTTTTTAAATTTCAAACAATAGTGATAATCATCATAAGAAACTTAGTATTTCAAATTGACCTTTTGGCAAATTAATTTCCTTTAAGAAATACACGTGCATGTTCTAAAATTTGAACAAAAGCAGTTTTGTAGGTATGTTGCAATCATACAATAGAAACTTGCTTTTCACCAAAAAAGTATAACAAATGCTTGGCTTATGGGATTATTAGAGAAGTCATGCCACTGCAGTCAAGGCTCTAAAAGCCAGTGATTACCTCGATCTCTACCGCGTCAACAACTACAAACTGTTGTAGATGGACTCATGGACACATACGGCTGTCGGAGACAACACTGACTAGGATGGCGTGGAGGCACTGGCAGTTCATGGTGTTCATACATTCCAACTCTCTAAGGGGATGATCATGTGGAGGACGAGTACATGCTCCTTGACTCCATCAACATCAACCAACACTCCTCTCCGGGTCCTATGCGAGACCCCCGACGGCATGCACCAGTAGGAACACACAATCGCATTCGAGGAAGTTGAATCAGATCGCCGTGTCGTGTGGGGATTGTGATCGGCCCTGGGCGGGTTAGTCTTTGGATATGGACTGAACTTGTCAACTCATATTAGAGATGGTTGATTAGTCTGACTTGCCATTATGGTTACGTAATTGTGATGCTTAGGGATTCGTGCAAAAAGACTTTTCGAAAAGCATAGATGCGCATCACTAGTTGTATATGTCTTACACAATGTACTCCTTACTCCCAAGGGTGAACCTATGATCTAATCTAAACGTTAGTGGTTGGACCTAACGGCAATGACGCTTACGAGTCATTCCTTGGGACATCACTGTTGGAGGGCTTTCTCGCGGTCAAAGAAAGGTGGTTAATGTTTATGTTTGTTATCTAAGGGATCCTTTGCTATGACATTTGGTGCAATGTCTTTTCTTTTTCTTTCTCTATATGTGTAATAGTTTTTTTTTGAGACACATATGTGTAATAGTTTGGTTGTTGCTTTCTTAATATATGGATGGGCTTTGACTTGATTCTTCTACACAGGCTTGGCCCATTTGATATCAATTTAATACTAATATTTTTATTAAAATATTATACTCCGCTTTGAGCTGTTCGGTAGGCGTACACAGCAAGTTACCTCTGACCGGAAGTCAACGGATTCCGCGACGGCGGCGTAGACAGCGCCGGCGACCTCCACGAACTCCGGCCTGAGTGCCCGCCCATGGGCGACCCAGACGCCGCACGCGAAGGACGTCTGCTCGAGACCACGGAGCATGCCCACCAGTCTGATCGCCGGGTCGCCGTGCAGCGCGGCGAGCGACGACCCAGCTGGCCCCACCAGGAAATCCAGCAGCTCCCGCTGCGTCTCGCCCTTGGCGCCAGCGGCCACCAGCGCGAGCGCCGCGTGGAGCGACAGCGGCGAGACGATGAAGTTGCGCCCCCCGCCGGCCGCCGTGCTCCCGACGCTCGCTGCCATGCGCAGGCAGCCTGCATTAGTCACCGTGTTCCCGACGCCCGCCCCTGCCGTGCAGCCGGAGTAGACGTCATGGGTTCTTCCGGTCTCACGTGGGATCATCGCGGTGGGGCGCACAGCCGCGGCCCAGGACGGGAAGCTAGGACGCGGCGGAGCAAACGTGGGCGGCCAGGGCGCGGTGAACCTGCTGGCGGCGTCGGCGGGGCGGTGATGGTGAGGAGGGTGGCAGGCTTCGGTGTTATCGGTTGGTTGTTGGCGCGTGTTGGAGGTGGCAGCAGTCTGGAACGAGGCGAGATGTCTCGCGACGGCGGCCGCAGGGAACATCTGGGGAGCCTGGCTACCGGCGAAGTGCGGCGGAGCGGGAAGGGTTCCGGGGTGCTCATCGTGGGGTCGACCACGGCGAGGTGGGGAGCCGTGCGAGCCGGTCGGGCGCCAGGAGCTCATCGTCCGTGGCTACTAGGTAGGTAATGGGGGCAGCCTTGTGTACGAGTGAACGAGTGTGCGATATGCGATGGTACCTTGATAGTTTTTCAAACTTTGGTACTTTTTTTTTTGGTTTTTTTTTTTGCGAGGGACCTTTTCTTTTTTGTTGACACAATATAGATGCAAACACTCATACATACACACATACATTCACTCATATGAACGCACACACGCATACCCTATCCCTATGAGCATTTTTGAGAGACTGAGACGACAACTATCTTGAGATTGACGAAGTCACCACAGACACCTTTATAGTCGATGAAAACGTCTTCTTTCACTGAACGCACATCACCGAAAAATCTGAAATAAATACAGAAAAATGCGAGCACCAATGTCAATGTCAAGTTTAGAACTTGAACTCTGATGGGCTGGGAATACCACCGTCCTCTTAGTTCACAAAAACGATGGTACCTTTGATAGTTGTTAGTATCATCACCATCGTTCACGTCATTAGAAAAGAAATTCATTTTGCTAATGGGCATGTGCCTAGTGTTTTTCCACGCCTGTCAATTTTCACTTTGCACGAGGCCAAAGGTGGGGATGACGTAAGGAGCGACGATGGCGAGGGTCGACCACTCTAAGGGCGAGCCAAGACCTCACTAAAGCCAGGGGCAACACAGCGAGCATCAACGTCCCAGATGGAGGTGAGGAAGAAACTTAAGGGGAGGGGTGCAGGGGTCGCCGGGGTTCTTGCAGATTGGCTGGGTTTAGAGGGATGGCCAGAGCAGCGTCCAGCACAACTGTGAGGGATGGTCGAGGGGACGGACGGGCGGCGATAGCCGCATGCCACAGGAAGAATATGAACATGGCACACTTGAGGAGGAAGAAGGGACATGAACTGTTGGATTTCATTCAAATGGACAGGAAACAAAGCGACTGATGCAAATGTTCTTTTCTGGACCTGATGAATAGGTGCTCCCGAGGAAAATTAAGAATCTTCAACTCCAATGAAAATTTCAAACATCCAATAGGAGAATTCTGACATTTTTAATTATATTTATAAAATAAAACTTTCAAAAAGTGGTGGATCTATACAAAACTTGCAGCGCTGGACATGCTAAAGGAGAACACACAAAATTTCAAAATCAGAACCGTACTACTTCTGTACTCCCTCTATTCCAAAATACTTGACGTTAAGTTTATCCCTCTCGTAAAAAAAACTTCTTTAAGTTTGAACCTGTATATAAAGACATATATACAGTATGAAAATGTTATTATGACGAATCTAATAAAACTAGTATGGTGTTATAGACGTGGTTCTCATGTTGATATCCTCAAAACTAGGTCAAAAAGAAGTCTCATATTGAGAGGTTTAAATGTTTTGTTTTATGCAAGCTATACTTCTCGTGACAATATATTGTCCGATTTCGATGAGGGAGGGATGATGACGGCGGCGCGACTTTGGCTCACTCCAGTGCTTGTAGTCGTCGCTGATAACCCATAAGTATAGGAGATTAATTGTAGGCTCTTTCGATAAGTAAGAGTGTCGAACCCAACGAGGAGCTAAAGGTAGTAGAACAAATATTCCCACAAGTTTTATCGACCACCGATACAACTCTACGCACGCTTAACGTTCACTTTACCTAGAACAAGTGTGAAACTAGAAGTACTTTGTAGGTGTTGTTGGATAGGTTTGCAAGATAATAAAGAGCACGTAAATAAAAAGTTGGGGCTGTTTAGATAAGGACACAACTAAGTTAGTTTTAGTAAAGAGGTTTTTGTTACAAGAAAGTTATTTGTCCCTAGGCAATCGATAACTAGACCGGTAATCATTATTGCAATTTTATATGAGGGAGAGGCATAAGCTAACATACTTTCTCTACTTGGATCATATGCACTTATGATTGGAACTCTAGCAAGCATCCGCAACTACTAAAGATCATTAAGGTAAAACCCAAGCATAGCATTAAAGCATCAAGTCCTCTTTATCTCATACGCAACAACCCCCTTACTCGGGTTTGTATTTCAGTCACTCAGGCAACCCACTATAAGCGAATCATGAACGTATTGCAACACCCTACAGCGGGGATCCCTCACGCTTGCACGACACGGAGAGCACCATAGGACAGCATCAATAATAAAACATGCAACTCAAATCAATCTTGATCATCAAATAGCCCATAGGACAAAACGGATCTACTCAAACATCATAGGATAGCCATACATCATTGGGAAATAATATATAGCGTTGAGCACCTTGTTTAAGTAAAGATTACAGCGGGTAAGAGAGAGGTTACACCGCTGCATAGAGGGGGGAAGAGTTGGTGATGATGGAGGTGAAGTTGTTGGTGAAGATTGCGGTGATGATGATGCCCCCCGGTGGCACTCCGGCGCCACCGGAAGCAAGGGGGAGAGAGCCCCCCTCCTTCTTCTTCTTCCTTGACCTCCTCCTTAGATGGGAGAAGGATTTCCCCTCTGGTCCATGGCCTCCATGGCATGGGAGGGGCGAGAGCCCCTCCGAGATTGGATCTGTCTCTCTATCTCTCCCTGTTTCTGCGTTCTCAGATTCTACCCTTTCACCGTTTCTTATATTCCCGGAGGACCGTAACTCCGATTGGGATGACATTTTGACACGATCTCGATCCGAAAATTAGCTTTCTTGCGGCGAAAGAAGGGCTCCAACCGCTTTACAGGGTGGCCACGAGGGTCAGGGGCACGCCCCCTGCCTCGTGGGCCCCTCGAGCATCGTCTCACATTGATTTCACTTCCCAAAAATCACATATATTTCAAAAAAATCTCCGTTCGTTTTTATCCCGTTAGGACTTCGTTTGATATGGATTTTCTGCGAAACAAAAAACATGCAACAAACAGAAACTGTCACTAGGCACTGGATCAATATGTTAGTCCTAAAATAGTATAAAAAGTTGCCAAAAGTATATAAAAGTTGTAGAATATTGGCATGGAACAATCAAAAATTATAGATACGACGGAGATGTATCAGCATCCCCAAGCTTAATTCCTGCTCGTCCTCGAGTAGGTAAATGATAAAAAAGATAATTTTTGATGTGGAATGCTACCTAGCATAATCTTGATCACATATCTAATCATGGCATGAATATTAAAATACGAGTGATTCAAAGCAATAGTCTATCATTTGACATAAAAACAATAATATTTCAAGCCCACTAATAAATCAATCATGTTTTTTCAAAATAACACTGCCAAAGAAAGTTATCCCTACAAAATCATATAGTCTGGCTATGCTCCATCTTCACCACACAAAATATTCACATCATGCAAAACCCCGATGACAAGCCGAGCAATTGGTTCATACTTTTTAACGCGCTTCAACATTTTCAACCCTCACGCAATACATGAGCGTGAGCCATGGATATAACACTATAGGTGGAATAGAATGGTGGTTGTGGAGAAGACAAAAAGGAGAAGATAATCTCACATCAACTAGGCGTATCAACGGGCTATGGAGATGCCCATCAATAGATATCAATGTGAGTGAGTAGGGATTGCCATGCAACGGATGCACTAAAGCTATAAGTATATGAAAGCTCAAATTAAAACTAAGTGGGTGTGCATCCAACTTGCTTCCTCATGAAGACCTAGGGCATTTGAGGAAGCCCATCATTGGAATATACAAGCCAAGTTCTATAATGAAAATTCGCACTAGTATATGAAAGTGATAACTCAAGAGACTCTCTATAAGAAGAACATGGTGCTACTTTGAAGTACAAGTATGTTAAAAGGATAGTAACATTGCCCCCTTTTCTTTTCTTTTCTTCTTTTTTTTGAGCTTCTTTGCCCCCCCTTTTTTATTTAGGCTTCTTTGGCCTCTTTTTTTGGGGGGGGGGGCAATGCTCTAATAATGATGATCATCACACTTTTATTTACTTACAACTCAATATTACAACTTGATACTAGAACAAAGATATGGCTCTATATGAATGCCTCCGACGGTGTATCGGGATGTGCAATGATCTAGCGTAGCAATGACATCAAAAAATGGACAAGCCATGAAAACATCATGATAGCTATCTTGCGATCATGCAAAGCAATATGACAATGAATGCTCAAGTCATGTATATGATGATGATGGAAGTTGCATGGCAATATATCTCGGAATGGCTATGGAAATGCCATGATAGGTAGGTATGGTGGCTGTTTTGAGGAAGGTATATGGTGGGTTTATGGTACCGGCGAATTTTGCACCAACTCTCGAGGTGAGAAAGAGCAATGCATGATACCGAAGAGGCTAGCAATGATGGAAGGGTGAGAGTGCGTATAATCCATGGACTCAACATTAGTCATAAAGAACTCACATACTTATTGCAAAAGTTTATTAGCCCTCGAAGCAAAGTACTACTACGCATGCCCCTAGGGGGATAGATTGGTAGGAAAAGACCATCGCTCATCCCCGACCGCCACTCATAAGGAAGACAATCAATAAATACCTCATGCTTCGACTTCGTTACATAACGGTTCACCATACGTGCATGCTACGGGAATCACAAACCTCAACACAAGTATTTCTACTAATCCACAACTACCCACTAGCATGACTCTAATATCACCATCTTTATATCACAAAACTATTGCAAGGAATCAAACATATCATATTCAGTGATCTACAAGTTTTATGTAGGATTTTATGACTAATCATGTGAATGACCAGTTCCTATCATCTCTCTAAATAGATATAAGTGAAGCAAGAGAGTTTAATTCTTTATACAAAAGATATGCCCACGCTCTAACAAATATAAGTGAAGCAAAAGAGCATTCTACAAATGGCGGTTTTCTATGTAAAGAGAAACAGGCAATCCAAACTTCAAATGATATAAGTGAAGTACATGAAGCATTCTATAAAGCCATACTCAAAAGATATAAGTGAAGTGCATAGAGCATTCTATAAATAAACCAAGTACTATCTCATACCAGCATGGTGCATAAAAGAAAAATGAAAACTAAATGCAAAAGACGCTCTAAGATTGCACATATCACATGAA